TAATCAAACTTACCAAAACCAAAGAGAAAGAGAGAATTTTAAGGGCAGCTAGGGATAAACGAAAAGTCATCTACAAAGGAGAGTCAATAAGAACAAGCTCGGACTACTCAGCAGAAACCATGTAGGCAAGAAGGCAACGGGATGACATACACAAAGCCTTGAAAGAAAAAAAACTGCCAGCCAAGATTATATACCCAGAAAAACTCTCTCAAATATGATGGTGAAATTAGGGCATTTTCAGATGAATAGCAGTTTAGGGAATCTGCAAAAACCAAATCAAAATTACAAGAAATACGGAAGGGAGTCCTCTGGTTAGAAAATCAGTAACATCATATAACAACCCAAGACTAGAACACAGGACAGAGCAACCAGATATCAACCCAGATAGGGAAGTCACAAAAGGAAATCAAAGCTCAAACACTGAAAAGAGGGAAACAGAGATGTCAATACGTAAAAGATGACAACATTAAAACAAAAAAGAGGGACTTAAAAAATGTAGACACAGATTTTTCATATGGAGAGGAAGTCAAGGTGATATGAAGAAATAAAAGAGTGGTATAAATGTAGAAAAACGGGTAAATATTAAGGTAACCACAAAGGAAACTAACAATCCTACAAGTCAAAATAAAAAACTAGAAAAATATAAAGACTCAGCAAACACAAAATCAACAATGAAAAAGATGAAAATACATAAAGAAAAATGACTCAGCACAGAAAATTAAGGGGAACAAAGAAACTGTGAACAACACACAGAAAAAGACATCGAAGTGATACCACTAAACTCATACTTATCAATAATTACACTGAATGTAAATGGACTAAATGCACCAATAAAGAGACAGACAGTGGCAGACTGGATAAAAAAAAAACATGATACATCTATATGCTGCCTACAAGAGACACACCTTAGACTTAAAGACACAAACTAAAACTCAAAGGATGGAAAGAAATATATCAAGCAAACAACAGTCAAAAAAGAGCAGGAGTGGCAATATTAATCTCTGACAAAACAGAATTTAAAGTAAAATCCACAACAAAGGATAAGGAAGGACACTATATAATCATTAAAGAGTCAACACACCAGGATGGCATAACTATAACAGATATTTATGCACCCAACAACAGGGCTCCAAAGTACATAAAACACACTCTAACAGCACTGAAGGGAGAGATAGACAGCTCCACAATAGTAGTAGGAGACTTCAACACACCACTTTCGGTAAAGGACAGAACATCCAGAAAGAAGCTCAACAAAGACACAGAACAGCTAAATGCTACAATCAACCAACTTGATCTCACAGACATATACTGAACACTCCACCCAACAGCAGCCAGGTACACTTTCTTTTCCAGCGCACATGGAACATTCTCCAGAATAGACCACATATTAGGCCATAAAGCAAGCCTTAACAAAACCCAAAGCATCAAAATATTGCAAAGCATCTTTTCTAACCATAAAGCCATAAAAGTAGAAATCAATAACAAAAAAAGCAAGGAAAAAAATCAAACACATGGAAACTGAACAACATCTTGCTCAAAAACTACTGGGTTATAGAAGAAATTAAGGATGGAATAAAGAAATTCATAGAATCAAATGAGAATGAAAACACATCCCACCAGAACC